TCGTAGTGCTGTGTGATGGAATAGATAATGGTCGAATGTTCTCTGCTTATGAATTCCGAAATAAATGACTGGCCCCGTATACAATATGAGTTGACGGAATTCCGTTGCCTTCATTCGCGCATAATCCGTAATTTTTCCAGGGCGACGAGCGAACTCTCGAGGACAGAAATCACGAATCGCTCGAAGTCGAAAATTGACGATTTCAATGTCTTGAGCGGATAATTTCACGTCTTTCGAGAACAACTTCCCACCCTTCACTGTTGCTAAAGTTTGTCTCTTCACTGAGCCAAGCAAAGTGAGGTGCATCCAACCAAACGTCACCTGCTTGACTAAATCAAATGCTGGAAGTCTTGCAAGAATACTCGGTCGATGATGATGATCTTCGTCTACCAGATTCCGATAATCAGCATCAGTTCGTGGTGCACCATTGGGGTAACTCTTAGAACAACTATTGTATCCAGTAGGATATTTATGATTCAACATCATAGCTCGGGCGGGAGCATCAGCGATGAAACAGCGTACAATTAGTGGAATTCTCACATTATTGAAAAGAATACCACCATTCAATGAAATTCTCATAATTTCCGTAATGTAATCCTTGAAAAAATCCATGGCAGAAGCAGGTTTATGTGGGCCTTTATAAATACCAACCATGATGGGAGTACTATTTGGGATATTAACAATTCTGACTTGGATGGGCCACATAACTATGTAACCAGACTTATCGAGATTGGCACCGTCTGTACTAAAGTCATAGATTAAATGACGCGGTACATATTCCACTGGTATCTGCTCAAGATACTTGGTGATTCGTTTCTCAACACCTAAATGTAAATATTCTCCGGGCTCAACTCGTCTCAGATCAGTGTGTTGTTGAGGTGTTGTAACCAGAGTTCGATGATCGGCTGGCAAATAAGAGAAGCAGCGATGTTCACGTAAGAGTCGTAGAATCGCGGTCCCTTTCGATTGTTCCAAACGTAAATAAATGAATAAATCTCGTAACCGTTCTTGAAAACTTGGTTCTCCTATATCCGAAAATGCTTCGTCGTCAGTCCATATGTCTGAACACTCGTCACTGTCGTAGTCATCGAAGTAATTTGTCCCATCTCCAGACAGAACTGACTGCAAGGATTCTTCATCACTGTCCATTTTTTCTGTATGAACAAAGGAGATGAATACATATGAAAAATGACATTTAAATACTTAGACTTGATAAAACATCGTAAGCTGAGGCGAAAGCTGAGTTTCCAAACCACTAAATTGGAGTGTTTTTTGAGATTTTCAGATATAAAACGAGGCGGAAAGAATATGTGAGATGAAAAATCCATATTGCAATGATTGATTTCGATTAACGAAACTATCGATTCTTCAGACACTGATCTCGTACGGAGAATTAATTCATATTTTACCAGGCCCCACAAACATCTTTCTCCCATTTCATCTAGAAGGAAAGAAAAGCTTAGGCTCTATTCGTCAAATGCATCGACTAGTTCAATTTTCGAATGGCTTACAGAGCCCAAAAAAAAAATTAAATTTGTTATTATGATACACCACAATATAATAGCAGAAACGCGTCTAATCAGTTATAATACCCCAAGAGCTTGGAAATTATCAGTTATAATACCCCGAGTGCTTGAAAATTATCGAGTCTTCCCCGATAACGTCGTGGTAAACAAACGAACAACAAATAGCAACAGCTGTTGTATTACCGAAAAATTATCGATATCATACGCACTACGTGAAATACCGGACTTGGCACACGGAGAAAAATATTTGTTGAATTTCAACACCTAGTGGTTGAAATTCACCAACTAGTTGGTGAAATTCACCAAGAGTTGTTGAAAAAATGAATTAACAACCAGTTGTTGAATTTCAACAACTAATTGGTGAATTTCAGCAACTAGTTGGTGAATTTTAACAACTAGTTTTTTCAATTTTACTCCTGCTAGAGTAACATGCACAATGTCACGAG